TGTAAAGTAAAGGAGCAAAAATCTTTATGAAAAATAACAGTTCTTGATCTTTTGTAGGATGACAAATAAACTTAGTGGGGCTAGATACACGGAACTACCTAGTTTGCCACGGTCGAGGAATTACCCAGATTTTTGGGTTTTAAGCTTGAGGCCGGAGACTCGTATATAAACCCTGGTCAGGGTCAGATTGGGAAAGGGGAGAGCCAAAACCTCGATCCCTGAATATGTACATACACTTCAATCAATAATAAGATGTTATTAGCAAGCCCATATAAATTAGATATTGGTAGGTCCATCACAATTATAGAATTTTTAAGCAAAATGATGATGGAAAGGCTCAAACCCTAGTGGTTTAAGAATACAAACGAAACTCATACTAGTGAGCTGCTTCGATATTAATGATATCCTTATAAAAAAAATAAATATATATTAATTAAAGTATTATTACAATAAAACTTAAAACCCCAACTCATCTTCTTTTATTCACTTTGTACATTCATGTTCATAATTGTTTTCGGGTTTTTAACCTTTACAACATAACCACGCCACATTATTTTCCCTTCTAAACGTTTCTAAATATATTTACCCCTCCTCAACTTGAAAGTTTTTTAATATAGTACCCAAATTTTCTCCAATTTTATTTATAAGCATGAATCCTTATTTCAATTTTGAGTCTTTAATTTTTTGAGCTTACTTTAAAGTTTTAAGGAGCATTTATGTTTGAAGTTTGTTATTTTGACTCTGAGTTAATGAAGTTTTATTTCAATAACTTAATTTGATATTAATGCATGAATTCAAATAATTTATTTATTACTATTTTATTATTTCTTAGCTTGTCTATTTTATGACAATATGAGGGAGAAATAACATACGTTTGGGAGAAATATTTATATAAGATTCTTGAAAAATAAGAGAATATTAAATGTATATTTGATTGTAAAAAACACATATTTAGGGGGAGTAATAGCTTTAAAGTAAAAAAGTCGACAGTCACTATTATTGAATGATGTAGCATTTTACTGTTTGATTAAGTATTGTGTTTGCAAGAAAAGACTTGGAAAATATTATTTGATTGGTAATATGTTAAATTGTTAACTTGTGATGTTTTGTCACAAAATATTCATAGGGGAAATTGTTAGTTAGAGGATATTATAAGTCTGGATGACTTATATGCAAGTGATTATTGAAGTATAGTGATTCAAGAAGACTTGTATGCAAGAGGTGATTCAAACTATGAGTCAAGAGGCTTGTGAGCATAATAATTATTTACATAGTGGTAGAAATTGTAGTGATAATGTTGTATTGGCTTATTTTGTGAACCAAAACATGAGTTCGTCGTGTAGCGCATATCCATGTATCAAATAAGTAAGAACATGAACATGTTTGAGCAGTGAGAATATGGACATAATGGATAAATTTTGAACATAAGCATCACTTGAAAATGAATGTTAGTAAAGAGGTGAAATAAGCAGAACAAGATGGAGTTCAAGAACAATATATGAGTACTAATAAAAAGTGGAACATGTTAGTTATCATGTATTGTATTTGAAGAAGTACTTCATACTAATTAGGGTGAGTTACTTTGGTGAAGAAAAGAAGAAGAAATATTATAATGTGAGAAATATTGTTGAGTACTATGTCTGTTATATGTCAATAATAATTCGGTTAATAATTAGAGGATTACTAGGTCAAACTTTCAGGGCCTCAAAGTATTAGGGAGGTGTGTGCAAGCTGACTGAGACACCCTCGGTGATTAAAAAAAAAAAAAAAAAAACCTCGGTGATTAAAAAAAAGAAAAAAAAAAATTGAAGAAGACACTGAATGAAGATCAAATTTAGAATAAACCAAAAAGTTTTGAGGTTAGTAACTTAAGTTAAATTTTGAAATCTGAGTGATAGGTGGAAAGGGTTTAGAACATTTTGTAGGACAAATGAATTTTAGAGTTTAGTTTATTTACAGAATAGTGTGAAGATCTTAAAAAGTTGAAGTTTAAAACTGAGAGGAGTTATAATTTGCTTAGGTAAGTTAAAGACTATTTGCTTAATCATTTATGTTAAGAGAGTTTTGAACTAAGTGAGGAAAAAGTAAAGAAATGAAATTTGAGAGTTGGAGAATTCACATTATCGAAATGGATTCTCTAAGAAATTGCAAAAGCAAATTCGTAATAGCGAAAATGGGTTCATTGTACAAAACTAAGTTTTTAAGCATGTACACAATAGCAAGTTAGAGTTCGTTGTTACGAGATGTGTATATGTGATTTTCCTTTTAGATATGAAGAAAGGATAAAGAAAAAAAAGTCAAGTAGTATAAGGAACGATTCGAAGAGATAGTTAGGGAGCTATCGCATATTAGTTATGAGTGTTTTAGAACACTATATAAGGAGCTTTTGTTACGTGTTTTCAAATTGTGGCCAAGGTTAATCTGACAGTGAAAACAGTAAAATATACATATTGAGTGAGAGAGTTGTGATGAGTTGGGTTAGTTTGAGCGTGAGAAATATTTCACCACGACAACGTAAAAACCCCACATTTAACGATGGACAAATGTGATGATATTTGCAATGCACATGTAAACGCTTTGATGGGTTAGGCAGTTAAACAACAATGACTTTTCTAAGATCATTCTGTCTTGACACCAACTATTTGGTATGATAATCAAGGGGACACTACAGTTGGAAGCTTGCATGCCTAATCTTCAGGGTCACAAAACATCTCACAAGCTTATTAGATCAAGATAATTGCATAAATATAATAGATACCTCTTTTGTGACTTGAACAGACCGCCTAGATATAGCTAGTCACAGCGATTAAAGGGTTTGCCGTTTGACCACAAAGGGAGAGGTGGTTATTTGGTTTTATGCATAGTATTAAAGACTTTTTCTATTGTACTTAATATTCACATTTTATGAATAAATAAAAAATAATAATTTTTAGAACCCAAAAAAAAAAAAAAAAAAAAATGCTAACTGATCATTATATATTACATGTGTGATTATTATCTATTTTATTTTATTTATGAAGTTTTGATTTAAGTATATACAATAATAAACCAAATGTTAACTTGTTGTGGGGGTCAAAAATCACCTATTCACATTTTATGAATAAATAAAAAATAATAGTTTTTAGAACTAAAAAAAAAAAAAAGAAACATGTCAAATGATCATTATATATTACATGTGTGATTATTATCTATTTTATTTTATTTATGAAGTTTTGATTTAAGTATATACAATAATAAAACAAATGTTAACTTGTTGTGGAGGTCAAAAATCACCTGGGGTTCAGTCAGGCCCAGATAGGCATTTTCTACTACAACGGCCCAAGGATACAATTCAAATCTGGTTGGGCCAGTGTCAGATTTCATGATTTTGGGCTAAAACCTGTGGCCCAAATCCAGCCTTCCTCTCGAACGGGCGTTATCGACAGCCCACTTAAGATCAGGCCTCCAGGACAAGGTAAGTAGGATTCTTCCTATTTGATTCAATCCTAATTTGTTCAAGATTTCATATCTTGGATGAATTAGGATTCCTACTGCTATTGAAGGTGAGTGAATCATGATTTTCCTATTCACTAGACCTCTTCCTTTATGGATTCAGAATCCTTTTGGGATACGAAGATCCCACGACTACTATATAAATAGGGGTCACCCCACTATTTAGGCATTCAACATTACATCTTCTAACCCTTTAGTTCTGATTCTTGAAAGTTATACATTGTCACCGTGGTTTTAGTTCCCTACTAAGCTACTGGTAACCTTTTCTTTCATTTACCTTCACTAAAAAGCCTTTATTATCCTTGTTGACTTGAGCGTATGAGTGGTTATGGCAAACACCACCCTGATGTTTTCCGTTCGCTTCACGTTAGTTCCTTTGTGTATACAAGTGCAGCAGATTGTCAGTGGCCTCAACCTCATAGAATTTGTCCTTTTTTCTATAACTGTAGATTTTAGTGTCTACAGTTTGACGCCTAACATAGTGCCTCTGGTAATCAACACTCCTTTGACTTTCTACTCCACAAGGGAATCAATCATGACTGAGATGATAAACAAGGCTCCCACGAACCTCTTAGCAAATATCGAGGCTTTAACGACCATGATGCAACAAAGGTCGGATAAGGTGGCAGTATTAGAGGCCGAGAAAGCCAACATCCGGGCTGAAAACCAGACTTTACGAGAGTAGGTAACTCAGTTTTATTCATTTGACTTGACTCATGATCAGGTGCTCGGGAATCGCTTTCGCGTCCCGATAAGTTCCATGCAAAACTTGTCAACCCTTGACCCTAGAAGATCAAATAGAGATTTGCAATCCTCCCATATCTAGTCGTCCTTAACAGATGGCTCAACCTTAAACACAACCCCCGTAACTGATCCATCCTTACAAACATCTCTCTTAGTTGACCCACCATTCACACTTGAACCCATTGTTCAGACAATCCCAAACCAAAAATTTCAGACATCAGCCACTATTAGTTACGACACCCTACCAACCTTGACTGATAACTTGTATTCGTGAACCTTAATAGGCTAGGCTCTCCTCTATGGGTCAAGCGGACAACATTACGCCCAACAAACTCATCCTGGTATAACTCATCCTTGTAGCTTTAGTCATCCCCAAAATACACTCTTGGTCATTCATGCTGGTCGAAATAGTTGTTCAGTCATATTGGGGCCCGACTCAACCTAAATGAGCGACTAAGTACCCCAATTCCCAACCAAACCATTATGGAGCAAACCTGCAATCCACACATTATGATGCGACTCACCTTGGAGCACCAAGTGGGTCACAAGTATACAACCAAAGCGTTAATGCACAACTATTATCTACAGGCACCCCTCTCGAGCAAATATTGGCCAAAAAGTTGGCCGATATGGAGGCCATGATTAGATGCATACTAGGAGTGCCCACCCCAACCAAAAAAAACGTGCCTTACAACTACGCAGATTTACCATTTATGGATTCAATAACCTTAGCTGAAATGCCATGTAAATTCATTATACCCAACATGAAGCCATATGATGTGACAACTGACCCAGATGATCACATAGCTTCATATAAGCAATGGATGTCCGTTGCCTCCATACCAAGGGATCTCAGGGAAGCCTGCATGTGCAAGAGCTTCGGTTCCAGCCTCTTAGGATCAGCTTTACAGTGGTACACTAATCTCCCCAACAACACCATAAGCTCTTTTGCTCAACTGACCGACACCTTTATCGAGCAATTTGCCAGCAACAAGAAACTAGAGAAGCTATCAGCCGATTTATATCGAGTGTACCATAAAAGGGACGAACCCCTACGAGAGTATGTTAGCCACTTCAACAAGGAGAAAATCTCTATCCCTTCCTGCTTGATGGAGAGTTGTAAAAAGACCTTACCAAGCTTGGCAAAACTCAATGGAGGATGCATTGGCCTGAGCAGTAATCCAAATCAGGTAGGAAAAAGGATGAAGCCAACCGGATGCGACATAATTGTTATGATGATCGCAACCAAAGACGTAAAGACATGCGTCCAGAAGCTCACTTTTATGAACCATATTATCCCACTCAGTCTCGTGGCCCTAACCATCACAATAGAAAAATGTATGACAGACAACCTGCCTGCCCAAATAGACACCCATCCAGCTCCACCTCCACCTCCACCTCCACCTCGTTCAAAGTTCCAGATTACATCCTCAACATTGACCCAGCTAATGGCAATTATGAAAGATATAGGGCAGACTGTCAAATATCCAACTAAGTTAGACCTAGACGTCGAGAGAGACACCTTCAAATGGTCTGAGTTCGACCATGATCACGGACACAACACTGCTGATTACATCGGTTTGAGACTGGATGTCGTAGCACTGCTAAAAAGTGGGCACCTGAGAGATATACCGACTAACAAGGGGAAGTACACCCTGAACCAAAGAAGCAATAATGGCGGTCCCCCCTCCCAAAGATCCAAAACCTAAGGGATTCTGTAATATCATATCCGAGGGCTTAGTAATTAGTGGGGTAAGTTATTCATCAGCAAAGAGACATGCTTAAGCCAACCACCACCAGGAAGTCTGTTCAACACATCTACCCATGCAGACATCCTCAAAATAGATCATCCAATTTGAAGACGATGACCCTATCACCCTAACTGCAATACACCATGATACCTTAGTGATTAACCTGCAGATCGCCAATATTCTCGTTAGGAGAATTTTGGAAGACAGAGGATCCTCAACCAACATACTTTTTTTGGAAGCAGTGAAGATGATAGGGTTAGACGAAACTGACATAAACAGGCACCCAACCATCCTAGTTGGGTTCAACTCAGAGCAAACATATACCATTGGTGAGATTGTTTTACCTATCTATGCTTGCGATGTGAATCGTCAAACATTTTTCTTGGTCCTTGACTGCCCCTCCCCCTACAATGTTGTCATGGGCCGACCCTGGATCCATGACATGATAGGTGTTTCATCCATCACATTCCATCAGACAATCAGGTTTCCCACCAAGTGGGGAGTTAGTGAAATCAGGGGCGATCCTAAAGCTGCCAAAGAATGTTACAAGATCGCCTTCAAGGGTAAGTCACAATAATTATAGTCAAATCCAACTCCCCAAGCCGAGCCTGACAAACCATCAATGAAGGAGTTGGATGAGGTACAGATACACTCAGATTACCTTGATAAGAAGACACAAATTTGTTCTTGACCTAGTCCTACTATTAAGGAATGGCTTATCGAATTCTTGTAGCAGAATAACAACTGTTTCACTTGGTCTCATTTGGATATGACAAGGATCAATCCTGGTGCAATCATCCACCACCTCGCAGTGGACCCCAATCATCCTCAGTAAAACAAAATAGACGAAAGTTCGCCCTGGAGAGAAACTGAATCATCAATGAGGAGGTTGAGAAACTGTTGGGTAATAGGTTGGTGCGAGAGGTACATTATCCAGATTGGTTAGCAAATTAGTGGTGGTTAAGAAGAATAATGGAAAATGGAGAGTTTGTATAAACTTCACTGACCTGAATGAAGCATGCCTGAAAGATTCATTCCCATTTCCCTATATAGACATGCTGGTTCACAACCGTAGTCAGACACGAGCTGCTCAACTTCATAAATGCCTTTTCAAGCTACAATCAGATCCTGATGTATTCGGGTGACCAAGAGAAGATAACTTTCATCATCAAAAGAGGCACATACTGCTATAAAGTAAAGCTTTTCAGTCTCAAGAATGCAGGGGTGACTTATCAACGCTTGGTAACTAAGATGTTCGCTAAACAACTGGGAGACACGATGGAGGTGTATATAGACAACATGCTCCTCAAATCCTTAATGATCAATCAACACCTCGATCACCTAAGCCAAGCATTCTCGGTACTCAAGAAGTATAACATGAAGCTCAACCCTGCCAAGTGTTCATTCGGGGTCTCATCCGGGAAGTTTTTAGGGTACATGGTGACTTAGCGTAGGATAGAGGCAAACATTGATCAAATCCAAGCTGTGCCACATGTTATTTGCAACACTCAAGAAATCCAAAGAATTTGAATGGACCCCAGTTTGCGAAAAAGCCTTGCAACAGCTAAAAAGGTACTTGACTTCCCCCCAATTCTTCTCTTCAAAGCCCTCACAGGAAAGACACTTTATACATACTTAGCTGTCTCTAAAATGGTGGTCTTAGCCATTTTAGTTAGGAAAGATAATGAGAAACAACTGCCTGTGTATTATGTGAGTCAGTCGCTTTTCGATGTTGAGACTCGGTACAACTAACTGGAGAAATTGGCCTTATCACTCATCCATGCCCCTAGAAAACTTTGTCCATACTTCCAATGTCATTCCATAGTCGTCTTCACCACATTCCCACTGAAGAAGATCTTTCACAAACTAAAGCTATTAGGAAGACTCATCCAGTGGACAGTCAAGCTAAGTGAATTTGATATATCCTGCCAACCCCGGATAGCCATAAAGTCTCAAGCATTGGCTGATTTCATTGCCAACCTCCCATCCAACACATCTATCCAGACAGAGAAAAAGTTGTTGTGCATGACAAGTGTCGAGTCTCATAAGTGGATTCTCTTAGTTGACGGGTCCAGTAATTCGAATGAAAGTGGTTAGGGCATCGTACTAATTACATCAGAGGGAGACATCGTCCAAAGAGCCATCAAATGCTGCTTCGAGTGTACTAAATGAGGTTGAGTATAAAGCACTAATAACCGGGCTCACCCTGGCAAAAGACGTAGGAGTAACGAAACTAAAGGTCAAGTCCGACTCTCAGCTAGTGGTTAATCAACTCCAAAGGACCTACCAAGCCCGAGATACCAAGATGAACACATACCTCACATAGTAAAAGAACTCCAGTTGACCTTTGAAGAGTTTACAATCATCCAAATCCATAGGATCGAGAATGCTTAAGTAGATGCCTTAGCGAACCTTGGATCATCTCTTCAAGGGTCATCTTCAGCAACCAGGAAACACCCTTATCCCTAGAGAGCCTTCGGAAGTATTAGACATCAACTCTGTTGACTCATGGATAACACCAATCATTCAATACCTGGAAAATGATGAACTCCTCCTGACAAGAATGAAGCTCACCGACTGAGAGCCAAGGCTACCAGATTCACAATCTATGAGAGTCAACTATTGAAAGAGTCCTTTTCCGTCCCCTATCTCAAATGCATCACTCCAAAACAGGCCAAGCATGTCCTCGACGAGATACACGAAGGCGAGTACGGGAACCATGCTAGGGGATGTAGTCTCGCCCACAAAGGGATCACAGTCGGTTACTACTGGCCTACCATGCGAGCTGATTTAGCGGCTTACGCCAAGAGCTGTGATAGTTGTCAAAGGTTTGCTAATATCTCGCACCTCCCTCTTGAAAGACTTAACTCCATTCTCACTCTCTAGCCATTTATGAATTAAGGGATGGACATAGTTGGTAAACTTCCAACTGCACCTGGACAACAAGTATACATGCTGATAGTCATTGACTATTTCACCAAATAAATAGAAGCTGAGGCATTCGCCTAGGTGCAAGACAAAGAAGTGAAGGGATTCATCTGGAAGAATGTAATATGTGGGTTCGACATACTAAAGGAATTGGTCACTGATAATGGATCCCAGTTTATCAACTCCAGATTCAGGGACTTTTATGATATGTGGGGTATCAAGTTTAGCTTCTTAACACCTCGCAATCCTCAGTCAAACGGGCAGGCAGAATCTTCCAACAAAACGGTGATTCAAACGCTCAAGAAATGCCTCCAGAAAGCTAAGGGTGCTTTGGTCCTATCGAACTACAACCTGTTCATCCATCAGAAATACACCCTTCTCACTAACATATGGTTCAAAGGTAGTCATCCCGATTCAAGTCTCTATCCCTTCAACCAGACTCCCATGGACAGATTATCAGACTAACGACCAAAATCTTTGTCACAACTTGGATACCATCAATGAGCTGAGGGATCAAGCTCACATCAAGAATGGCAGTAATGAGTCGCTCAACACTATAACTGTAATGTTCGAGTGAGAGCTTTCAAAGAAGGAGATTGGATGCTTCGTAAAGTCTTTCAAAATACTAAAGAGATTAACGTTGGGAAGTTGACCTTAACTAGGAAGGCCTATATAAGGTAACCAAAGCGATGGGCAAGGGCACCTACAGGCTCTAAAATCCAGAGGAAAAAGAAATCAACAATAGTTGGAACACCATCCATCTCAAATGGTACTATTTTTAGTAAATTGCTTTTACTTTCCCTTTTAGTTTTGTTTGTTTAAAAAAGGGTGAGTGGGCATGTCCACCTCTTCTCCAATCAATCGGCCTTTTGGCCTAGTATCAATAAAAGTATTATTCAGTGAAGAAAATTGTTCAACTTCAATCGATATACGTCAACTCGGTTGCGAGGCCTGAATTAAATCAACAGTCGGTCATGCTGACCCAGTCTCGACAAACATAGTATCGACAAGTTTATTCAACTTCAATTGATATACATCAACTCGGTCGCGAGGCCCGAATTACATCAACAGTTGGTCACGTCGACCGGGCCTCAACACACTTAGTATCAATAAGTTTATTCAACTTTAATCGATATAGATCGACTCGATCGCGAGGCCCGAATTACATTGACAGTTGGTCATGCCAACCGGGCCTCGACACACTTATCATCGACAAGTTTATTCAACTTCAATCGATATACATCAATTCGATCGCAAGGCCCGAATTACATCGATAGTTGGCCATGCCGATCGAGACTCTAAACATCTAAATTTACATCTACTAATTTACAACGGTTCACATCGACAATCAGCCATGCCGACGAAACACCGAAACATCTAACTTACATCTGCTGATTTGTATCAACTGATTTACATCAACAATCGGCCATGTCAACCTAACTTGGGCACATTTGCATCAGAGATTCGATCACTTGACCTAAGCGCACGAATTCTTGAAAAACTAAAACATTCCAAGTATGCAAATCACACAGTAACATAAAGAAACACAACTCTTGGTAATGGTGCAAATAGAAAATGATCTATTAAAAGTTTATAGCCTACATCTGCAAAAAGTTGCGAGTACAAAAGCGAACAAGGCATCACGTGCCTGAAAGGTCTAAGATAGTATTGACAAAAGCTTAAAAACTAAGGGTCAACAGGTCCTGGCTGATCCTCCCGAGTCAACTGATCCCCAGTCAGCCTAACCTCTTTCTCTTGACTGGTTGATCCACCAGCAGTGGCCACATCCTTAATGGACTCGGTCGAACTCGCTAGAGCTTCCTCTTAGTCTTCAACAAAATCTGTTTGATCTTTAGGATTAGACTGGGCTCACCCACCTTCCATTCGGTCATCAATACCGGCTACCTCAACCTCTATTTCCTCCCAGAGTTCTATGTCGCCATCAGGGTCCCAATGTGCAGTCTTCCTGACCTTGTATTACTTCATCAGCTCATCAAAAGCCTTGATCATGGCATCCTCAACAATGGATT